AGTTGAGATTCCTGAGTGGACTCACATGGCATTTGGCTACTACAAGAAGTTCTTGTTTAGTGACTGCCTCGTTTAACAACCATTGCAAAAGGAATTTTATGACCAATCCTTGCATTTATGACCTTTGTAGGACTTTAAAACAAAGGAAAGCTGGAATAAAATCATGAGCGCGGTGATAGTTTCACTTACCAACTACTTCATCGGTACTTCATAGTACAACACTTCACAGATCACACTTGAGTATTTTATAGTTTTGGTCACCAAGATACAAAACAATGTTGAGACTTTAGAAAGTGTGCAGAGAAGAACAAAATTGATTAGGGGACGGATGGCTAAAACATATAAAGATTGATTGCACAAATTGGGTACGTCTAGTTTAATGAAACAGATCTAACAGATTAACAGAGTTAGAAGGGACCTTGTAGGTCATCTAGTCCAACCCCGCCACCCAAGCAGGAGATCCTACACTATTTCTGACAATTGGCAGTCCAAACTTTTCTTGAAAGTCTCCAGTGATAAAGACTAGGGATGACATGATAGCAGTTTCCCAATATCTAAGGGGCTGCCACAAAGAAGAGGGGCTCAATCTATTCTCCAAAGCACCTGAAGGCAGGATAAGAAGCGATGGTTGGAAACTAATCAAGGAAAGAAGCAACCTAGAACTAAAGAGAAATTTCCTGACAGTTAGAACAATTAACAACTTGTCTCCAGAAACTGTGGGTGATTGACACTGGAGGTTTTTTTAAAAGAGATCAGACAACCTTTTGTCTGAAATGGTATAGGGTTTCCTCCTTGAACAGGTGATTGGATTAGAAGATTTCCAATGCCCCATCTAATTCTGTTATTCTATTATCATTTAACAACCAAGTTGCCAGTCCGAATTGCACTAAACAAGGACTATTTCTATAGATTTGTGAGTATAGTTGGGTTCAGAGACAGCCCTCAATCTTATTTTGTCATGTTAAGTTTTTTGAAGGAAATTGTAAATATAAAGTAACAATAAACAAGAAATAACACACATTAAGTGATTTTAGATACTTATGTCACAATTTTCATGGTTTTAATTTGAAACCCAAAAGGCTAAAATAATAACTAACATTACAGTATATTGAATGTATCATTATTATTACTTTTCAGTTTTTTGTTAAAGCAAACTTGCTTTAGGATTATTTTATTATATTTTATTCTATCCTGATTTTAAGTGCTGTTTAATTCCATTATGGTTGCATTTTTATAAGGATGGCAGTATTTTGGCCTAACCATTGTCTTTCTAATATAGCCTATTATAATGAAGAGTCACTCTGTGAGTGAGATGGTGGTTTCTAAGTCTGATATATAAATAAAATATAAATAAATAAAATGAAGTAAATATCTATATAATTTTTAACGTTGCAGTGCTTGACAATTCTAATTCATATCTATCATTAGTTCCATGCGTGGTTTCCAGTACAGATAAGAATAATCCATTTAACTTCAGGTATTGGTTATGAAGAAGAAATTTACCATAACCTACAATAATTAATTTAAGAATTAATCATTAAAGTTGCTACCCCCATTTTCTAGACAATCCTATTAAAAACCCAGTAAAAGCTTCCTTCTAGAGCTATATGGAATTGCACTCTAAATGAATTTTCTGAAGAATTCACATTTTATTTAACACTGTGCTGTATGTTCCAAAAATGCAGTAATTTTTTAAAAAATGTTTGAAAATGTTTTTTAAAGCTCACTGCTACCTGTGGTGTTCATATTTATTCGGTTGGTTCTAATGTTGCCTCTGGGGAAAAAGGCTTTGCAAGATTTTTTTTTTCACTGCAACATTCTGAAAAATCTGGTTCCAAAGCAGTCTGTGGCTGCATAAAGCATACAAAATTAGACTGGTTTGGACGTAAGGCAATTGTAAAGGAAGGGACTATATAGTCCCTTCCATTGGACAGATGACAGATGAATATTTCAAACTGAACTTAATAAAGTTAGAAAGAAACCAATGAAAACTACATTTAACCTTGATATAACTTTTCATACATGAATCTTATTTTTTTTAAAAAAAGAACTGTTCTATTTTATCCTGAGATATTGTATTGAAAATAGTTTTTTTAAAGTCTAATCAAACACAAAAATACCTCCCACAAAGCTTTATTGACATTATTATTAGTTATATCTGCCCGTCCACAATTAATTTAAATGTTATTTCTTTGTATTTCCCTCAGATAGTTTTGCCTGGAGTTTTTTAACCATTAAGGACATTTGTTTCTCATTCTTCCTAATTCTTTTTTAAAGGAAGTTTTAACTTCAGGTATTGCTTATGAGGAGGACATTTATTATAATCTCAATAATTAATTTAAGAATTAAGAATTAAAATTACTATGCAACATTTTCTAAAAAATCCTATTAAACCCAACAAGGCTTGCTTCCTAAGTTACAAAGTTTATGTAAAGTAACAGACTTAAAAGCAGATTTTTTTAAAAAAAAGACTGGCTAAATTTAGACTTGAGATCTTCTGTCTTGTTACTGGGACTAAATATCTCTAGGCCTAGGTAACCTGTGAGTAAATATGTACAATAGAACTATATGGAAATTGGATACAGTAGTTTAAAGGTCTGTTGTGAGTTATCTTTTTAGTAATGGAGATGATCAAGAAAAGGTCTTATTTTAAAAAGTTGCTTCCCAATACATTTCACAAAAGGTTGAGATTATGGATGACACAAAGTCATCCATTTTCATTCCCTTCTGTTCCATGTTTTCTTTTCTAGTCTGTGTTTTCTGGAAATGCTGTAACTATCACACAGCAATTTGAGGCAACCCTGCAATACATCAACACAAGAGACAAATACATTTGTTTCTATACAAACATGTTTTCAGGTCTCTTTATATAAATATGTTTTCGGCTTAGAACGTGGCAGTATCGATTTTCCTTGCTGTAACCCTTCCTGCTAATATTACTTAAAAAACAAAACAAACGCACCTTGTTCTATTTCTTAAAGGGAGGGGAAGGTGTAGGGAACCCCCACCACGGTCTGATTAATTAAGATGACGACATAATGAGTGAGAAACATCGAGGCATTCTGGTGATTTGCACGCCTTGGGTCTCCTCTCCTATTTAATCTTTAATCTTTCAGGGAGGGCAAAAGATTCGCCGCCGTTAGGCGAGGGATGCTGCTCTGCTTTTTTTTTGACTGTGAGTGTGGCCGGGGCGGGGGGGGGCAGTGAAGTAAGATTCAACAGCAGCAGGGAGGAGCTGCCTCTGTGTTTGTGTGTGTGTGTGTGTAGTGTGCGCGCGTTGGCCGCCCTGTTTCCTGGTGCTCTGCTCCCTGACCCCAGTGGCAGTCCTTACTCATTGCACTGTTCTCTTCCTTCTTCGCTTTCCCCCCCCCTCTCTCTCCCTCTCTGTCTCTCTCTCTCTCTCCCTCTCTCTTTCCTTCTCGTTCCCCAATTCAGAGGTCGAACTGCTCTTTATTTTCTCCCCCCCCCTCCTTTCTTCTTTTCCTTCCTTCCCTCCCTCCCTCCTTCTCTGCCTCTCTTTCGTCCCCCCCCCCCCACTCCCGGGATCCTTGCGGGTCGAAGGTTCTGCCCTGCCTTACACCAGCCGCCCACCTATGCCAAGGTCTCCCTGGCTCTTTCGCTCTCTGTAACCAGCGGCTTCTCGGCAGCGTCGCCCCCCTCCCCTCCATGGATCGGCTCCTTCCCCAGCACTGAAGGCATCCTTAGGAATACACCTCCACCTCCAGGAAAATAAAAAGAGCCAGAGAAGGTAAATCACCCGCCCCGTTCAGAGAGGAAGGGGAGAGGACTCCAATGGAAGAAGGGAGAGGAGAATTACCAATAACAAAACACAAAGCGCTGGGTTAGAGGTGCCTTGTCATGTACAAGGAGATCAGAGAGGGCAACCACCGCGAAACAATAATCAGACTCAAAACGGGCTGCTTATTTGCATTCGCTCCGGGTAGAACGGAGGGTTTATAAAAAAAAAAAAGGTTTGGAGAAGGAAAGCTAATTTGCTGATCTGCGCGAGGGTCGGTTTCTTTTGCCTCCCTTCTTCTTCTTCCTCCTCCTTCCCACCCTGGCTTGCAATGCCCCCATCTCTCCTCCTCCTCCTTGCCCCCCTCCCGGATTCGGCGTTCATTTCTTGCCTTTGCGGAGCGGAGGTGTTGAGGTGGGGGGGTGGCTGGGGAGGCGGCGGCGGTTTGGGAATAGATTTGGCAGAGGAGATTAATTTTGCTCGCTGTTTACTAGCAAGTCTCGGGTGATCTGGGTTACAATGTTAGAGCACGACCGGGGGAGGGTAGGCCAAAGGGAGCATTGTGCTGTGCGAGGCTGCCGGAGAAAGCGAGGCGAAAACGGTAGATCGGGGGAGTGAAATGCAAAGTATAGTTAGCCTGAAAAAAACTGAACCGTGTGACTGGCGGGAGAGAAGGACGGCGCCGGGAGGGGCGGGGGGGGAACGACAAATCGTTTGTTCTTGCCGTATTTCCCCGCTTTCCAAGAGGCTTTTCTTTTTTTCACCTCTCTCCCCCCACCCCCCCAATTTCCATAGGGGAGAAAAAAAAAAAAACCCCGGGGGAAAACTTGGCAAAAAATAAAATAAAAAAAGTACTGAGTGCTTTTTTTTTTTTTTTAACTATAGCTGGAGTTTTCCACGTTTCTTTCACATTCAAGGCAGCTACATACTCTTTCTCTTCGCCCCCCACCCCCAATTCGCTGCTTTTCCAAAACATGCTTTTTGAAATCAATGGTCCCCTGAGGCCTAAGCGCCCTTGGAAACCTTTGCATTTTATTGGGATGTATTCGCCTCCCTGTTTGCATGCTGTTCATCGCGATTATGATATTTTTGTTTTCCTCCCTTGCTCTAGGATTATGTCATTCCCCCCTCTGCATCCCTCAACCCTGACCTCCTGAAAAGTGTCGTAGCGTCGTGAGAAATAGGGAGTTCGGGCGATCGGCTTGTATTGGCGAGGAGCGGGGTGTACATTTTTTTGGGGGGGGTCATTGCAGAGATCTGAGTGGGGGGGGGATATGAAAACTTTAAGCGCGCGCGCGCGCCCAAAGCCATAACTTAAGGCAGTAGCCCGCAAAAGGGGTCTCGAGAAAGGGGAAGACATTTCCCCCCCCCCCAAAAAAAAAGTCAACAGAGGGGTTGAAAAATGTGCATCTTTCTGTGGAGAATGCTTGTTATGGGTTAGCAGAGACTTGATCAGGGTTATCGTGCCAGTTTGAAAGGAAGGGGAGAATCAGGTTGGGATGAATGACGTTGGGAAAGAAGTGGGGGGTGGGAGAGCGATAGAAAAGGCAGGATGGTGCGCAGTCAAAGCTATTGGCCGCTGATTGTGATCAATCATTCCGAGCCCTGGCAAGAGGGAATGGGAGAGGGAGAGAGGAACCAGCCCCAAACACCCTGCGAGGATTCAGAGGAGTGCAGCCACCTATCCGGGAAAGAAGGGGGGAGAAAGTCCACCCAGCGCTGCTTAGATGGGCATGGAGTGACGGCCACCAAGAGGTAGTGCTTGCAACCTGGGACGTCTTCCTTGCTCATAGTCCCTTTCAGCTAAAGGGTCTGGAGGAAAATGCATCTTTGCAACAGAGGGAGAGGCTTGACGCTGTAAGGGTTTCTTCTCTAAAGGGTCCCCGGGTGCTGCGGGGTGCAAGAGGGAGTACAGGCGGGTTGGTTTTTGATGAAGGGAAACCTGACTTGATTTCTTTTACAGGCCGGATGTGCGGGATAATATTTTTCTGCTTAACTGTTGCTTTGATGGAACTCATGATCCTTCCTCCCCCAGTGACAGTTTACCTAGCATTAGGAATACAGTAGCATGCTGATTCTGATCTGCTGGTATTGCACAAGATTGCAGTGAGAGCAGAAGAGATGGGAAGTCGAAAAGATATCGGGCAAGAGAGATAGTGGCTGGCCACTTCTTTATCTTATTAAGAAAACTTCATAGATGTGTCTCTGTGAGTCCGCCAGAGTCAAAGTTGGACTGGAGTCTTTTTGCTTTTTCACATACACACTGATTTAATCCACACTTCTTACACTGACAAAGAAATAGCTTCCACTGAGAATGAGACTTGTTTCTGAGTAAACATGCATTGATATGCATATTGCCTGTTTGCTGTTTTATTTTGTATCAGTATTGGAGATAATGCAAGCTTATAAAAGTGGTCTAATATGGGTATTCTTTCCCTTTATCTCAAATATTTCAGGAGTTCTCTGGTTAATAAACTAACATTCCTAGTTGATGAATTTAATGATGGATTTCTCTTTTTACTCCCCATATTATGGTTTTTTTTCCCCCTTCAGCAAATAATGGGTTTGGGTATTATTTTTAATTTTCTATCTTGCCACTGATTAAAAATGCAATCCTTCTCAGTTGTGCTTTGTGTTTGTGAGACAAAATTGCAGTGTAAATGTTATCAGTGTTCTGCTTATATAGACTTCAAATTGAACCAGTGAATTTATTTGAACTGGTGGTGTTTTCCCATCATGTCAACTTTATTCTTGTAGGATGTCTATCATCATTTTTGGGTTCTTTCCTGAATTCTATAATCATGTATGAGATAATATGGTAATTCAGGGTTTTTGGCAGTTTTTGGTTATATTAGCTCCTGCATTAAAATGAATGCCAAGGTCAAATCTATTCCAAAGTATTATATCTCCTTAAGGAAATGATTGTTCTAAGGAGAAGAAAAGAATTATATTGTTAACACAAATCCTTATGGGAGACTAATACCAGCATGTATGTAAAAGTTTTGAAGTAGTTGACTTTGCCTTATATTTTCTTCAAAGAGTTATTCATTAAAGATCACAGTCATTCTCTTTAATATGAGAGCTGTTTTGCACTAGAAAGACATTAAAAGAAAATTAATAAAATCGGTCTCTTTGGATACAAAACAATATTTCTGTGTTTGATATTTACTGATGGACATTTAAAAAGCTGTATTTTTCTTTTGTTCAATAGAATGCCAATATAAATGAAATATTTCACTTCTTAAGAATTCAAAAGTGAAGTTCAAGATTTTCTGCACGTGAATCAGTATACTTAAGCTTTAACATTTCCCCTCTCATAGAAAATAAATAGAATTGAATTAAGATCTTAAATTATCTTTAGTGAGCTTTTTGTAATATGTAACATTAATTCTGGCAGTTAATGAAAATACAGTGGCATCTATTTTTTTAAAGGGCAGAAAAAGTATGAGTTTGTATTTCATTAATGTTTGTCTTTTATCCAACAGAATCTGCTTTGTGTGAGGAAAAAAAAATTGCTATGCCATTTCAACGTTACTGCCTAATGTACGCCAAGACTAAAATTCTCACAATACAAAGTGTGTTTTTTCCCTCTGAGCTCTCAGGGCTAACATTCTTTTTTAATGACAGTCATTTCTCTAACGGGAAGATGTTTTCATTTGTATTTACTTTTCAGTGCAGTGCAATTATGCAGCTCCACACTGCACACTGCCTTCATAGTTAGTATCTCAAAAGAGAATTACAGTCTTCACTACAGAACTGCAATTGGAAGCAGGTGTTGTATTTTACTGTTATGCAAAATAACAGTAAAATATAATTGTGGTGGAAATTAAGGAAACAGCTGCAAAGTTGGTATGGAGGTTCCTTCATTATAATTTGTAGACAGTTATCTTGCACGAATAACTGGGCAAATATTTTATGTACTGAATCTTATATACACATGCATATATATATATATACATATATATACATATATATACATATACATACACACACACACACACACACACACACACACACACACACACCTGTATATGCAGTCAAAGCTGGAAACAACAATCCAATTTAATGAAATTTTATTTCATTTGGGTCCATACCTTGTTGATGGAATTAGGGTTTTATTTCGTCATAATGGCTTCTTATAATTTGAGACAAACAATCTTGATTATAGAAAGGGAGTTGTGAGATTTCTTAACCTGGTTACCATAGGAAATCTTATGTAGGCCTGAGGTCGTATAACAATAAAAGGGAGATGCCCATCTGTCATTTGGAAATTTGTTTCTTGAATTTTGTGCTGAAGTAGATTTTAAACTTCATTGTATGCTCTTACACATTTAATTTTCAACAGTATTTGGATTCAAAGATAGCATCATTGTAGGAAAAGAGCCTCATAGTATACAGCATGAGACTTTCTGGCTATTCCTAACTCTGCTCAGTTATAGAAAGGTATATTTCAAGTTTGTAATAGTATAGAACTCCAAACGTTATGTATTTGGAGTTACTGAAAATGGTCAGATACTTTTTTTGAAATATTTTTATCCCATCTTAGAAGTTTTAGGGTGGATTATACTCCTTCCTACAACATTTTTAAAGGTAGTTTTTGGTAATAAGGTAATAATTTTTTTTCTCCACTTGCTAGATTTGGAATCAGAAATATTATATCTGTGCTTGATGTTAGGCTTTTAGAGTAACTTGGTGCAAAATTAGAGTAACTTAGTAACCAAAATTGGAAACAAGGTATATACTCTGATAGAAATGGGCAGAAAAAAAAATTATCTGAAGAAAATGGATTGACAGATAAATATGTATGTATTTAAGAGTAGAAGTAGGTATGCAAAAATGCATTATTACAAAGTATTTGAATGCCCAAATTATTTTAGGGAGGATTATTTTTAATGAGAATGGTTTGGCAAAAATTGGGATAAAAGATACTGTTTGCATCATGTTATTCAAATTGACCTGAGCAAATATATACAGGATAAAGAAGTTACATAGGTAAAGTAAGCAGATAGAAATGTATGACATACTTTAATCAATTTAAGATAAAATGGCTCACAGTAATAAATTACAGTTTTAAACTAGAGTGTACAGTTGTATGTTTTAGCTTGCAATGGAAATGTGTTAGAGGAAGAGGACTTTAGGTGATAACAAATTTATCCCATGGCTTTTAAGTATTTTTCATTTTGCATGTAATAATTAAAAAGTAGGCAGCTCTAGTAGGATGATAAAATAGTAGAGAGAAGTTCTTTTATCTTATACTCCCTGGATCATTTCAATTGTCATAATTCATCAACCATAGCCAAGTTAAGTTCAAAGCACCTGGAAGGCAACAGATGGATGAAAGCTGCCCTTAGAACGTATGCATTGCCTTGACAGATGTATGGATCATGCCAAGGTCCATCTGCTCGTGCAATCTGTTTCTAAAAATGGTCTAGGTACTTCTATAAACTTGTAAGTGCCCATCCTTGCTTGTTTTCCTTCAGTCTGGTATTGAAGAGCATATTACTTCTGAATATAGATACTGTGTTTAATTTAAATCACATGTATTGAACGCTCTTTTACAACCATTTAGTCACCACATCTTAGTGTTTACTTACTACATAATTCTTACCTCTTGGACTCCTTTCCAGTGCTTTTTGTGGATGATCTGGAAAGTATGCGCTTTTAATCTTTTTTTTCAAATTATAATTTTCTAAATCTTTGCTACATTTATCATCAGATTGATTTTGCAAATCAGAAAATTATATTATTATCTTTTCCTTGAAAAAAGTGCTATATCTTGGTTTTTATTTGCCCACTTTTTAATGGCCCCATTTCCAGCTCTATGGCAACTTATGAAATGGAGCCCCTGAATCTGATAAATAGCTGTAATTGTATTTGTGAAATATGGCACATGATTCTGACAATACATTATTAAAACATCAGTGAGAAATGTAAGGGAAATTCAAAATGAAGAGTATAATTATGTTTTGTTTGTTTTACAATACTATAATGTAAGATAACTTGCCCATAATAGTGTGTTTTGACATTTGTTAAAATAAAACTATATGAAAAGTATAGAAAGAAAGAGGAAAAAGAGGAATAGCTGACAACTGTTGAATGACAAGATACTTGTATGCTGGAAGTTTTTTTTTTTAAAAAAATAAAGTTGTGTGACTTTTATGAGATTTGGTAGATTTAAATATACAAAGAACATGGTTTTTACATTCAATATAAAAACACATTAACAACATTTTATTAGGACTAATAGGATATGCAAGCAAATATTTCAGCTTGGCATATGAACCAGGAAACCAGCTTTTTTCTAAGGTACTCTATAACATTTCCTTTCCTTCCTAGTTTTCCATTATATTCTGGTCAGTCTGCAGAACATGATTGCAACAAGCAAGTTTAATCTTCCTTTCCAAAGATTGTATTTTTGAATACCTAATGAAATCTTTTTTTCTTGGTGGACAGTTTTGATATATCCATGTTTGGAGATTGAGTTTGCTAAGAGTATGTATGCTAATGTGATATAAGAAAGATGCATCAAAGAAAATGTTAGGCTGAGCTTAATGTTTTTAGATGGAATTTCAAAATGATAAATGTCTCCATATTGTTGTCCAGAATTCTGCAGAGTTCATGAGGACATCTTTGGCTTCCGACATTGGCTGAAACACAATGCTCATTCCTGTATTTTGCTCTGGAAAGTTGTAACTCGCTCATGTCTATAAAGAGGAAGCATGGCACATGGAATTCCTTCACAAGGCAAAGTTTCCATTTCTGTGGATGAATACAGCTCAAATCCAACCCAGGCATTCACACACTACAATATTAACCAAAGCCGATTCCAGCCTCCACACGTACACATGTAAGTACAGTTGAGCCATTCATGTTGTCAATCGTTGTGTAACCATCCTCACTTCTATCAAGAGATTGTAAAAAACCATGTCTATCCTGCATTAATTATTTATCTGCTGTATGCTTATAATGGATATTTCTAACACATATTTTTCATTTATTTTTCAGGATAATTCAGTATGGTTAACTAGGCTAATCTAAACAATCCTAACACAATGACTTAATAATCATATAAGCATTAAAAAACAGAAATAAGTGGACTTTAAAAAACACTTGGCAATTTTGTAGCTTTTACCAGGAACATGCCTCCAGGCATCTTTGCAGAGATAAAGACTAAAATGGTTTTTTTTTAAAAAAAATAAAATTAAAAGAGATGATTGAAATATTAGCTATTCTATTGTGTGAACTGCAACGAAATTGTTTCCAACCCCAAGAATTGGATGTGAAATAATTGCAATTATTGCTGCCCTCTGCTATAAATAAGTCGATAAAAAATGTCCAAATTGGGTTGCATAGTATATTACATTCAAAGAGCTCCAGATGTCAGAGACTTGGTAAAACTCGAGCACAATTTTGTATGTGAGCTGCAGGCCTTGTAACCGACTTGTAGCTTTATTGATTTCACTGGAACTTGCCAGAGGGACATATTTTGCGAAAATGTGAACACCCTTCCCCCGCTCTTTGCACTCAGCTGCGAAATAGGCCTAATTGGGACTAATTGTCTCCTGATCACTGAATCCTTTGTCCTCCTTGTTGTAAGGAGAACGTGTGCCGCATGCTGCATTCTTCTGTCAAGAAAGACAAAGGATTCCAAGAGGGCTGAACTATTAATCCCAAGAAATACAAATACTGTATTAAAATAATGTTTATGTCCCAGACCTAAACCAACAAAGATAGAGCAAAAGGTCTTTTCCTTAGCTTGCTTCAGTTTTGGTATTGTGGCTTCTGAGATCTTACAGCAGAAGGACTGAACACAGTCCAAATGCTGTCTCCTCTATATCTTTGAGTGTGAGTGTGTATGTATTGTTTGTCCATGCTCCATAAACACACACCATTTTAAAAACTAAGTAAAGTCTTAAATTCCAGATTTCCTTCCCATTGTTTAGTGAATTGTGATCTTTATCAGGCATTTTTTTTTTAACTAAGCTTCTTTTTTCCCCCTCTGGTCTAATGGATAGGTTAAATTATAAAACAAAGAGGCACCTCTTGACCTCACAGCGACCCAAAGCGAATGGGGTATTTCATTCATTGTGTGGATAATAGCTTTTGCATAGTGAGAATGCTGAAGCATGTTGCTACTTTGAACTCTACTTGGGAGGAGGTATAAAATACCTGATAAGATGTTCTCTATTGAACAATCTTCTGTTGCACTGAGGGTGGTATGCAAGCCTTTGAGATATGCAGAGCTCCTCAGTAAAGGGAAAGCTAGCCTATTTTCATCCATAGAAAAAGAAAGAAAGGGTCATTGCCAATGCAAATATTTTAATCCCTTTAAAACACAGTTGCCTTTTCATGGACTAGTTTAAAAAAGGCTTTGGGCATGATGTAAAAAGCAGGTGGTCAGTTTGTACCTTCAAAGTATTTCTTCTACCAGTGGGGTAAACTCTGAATTTTAGAAGCATTTTTGAAATAGGTGTAGTGGGTGTTTGAGGGAATGCAATTCAAGAGAATATCCAGCCTCTGCCTTCACTTTTGTCTTTTCACATGATTTAATAGGTTGCAATGAGAAAAGATTCCAGGTGTTATTTTAACAAATTACTTTTATCTGATTGTTGAATTGAACTGTAGCTGCATTTGTTGTACAGAACCTGATAGTTCAATATGCAGTTCATTTGTATTGTGGAGATTTTACATGAGCTTTTGAGTTTTCTTTGAAGCTATGGGAAACACAGAGCGTTGAAATCCAGTTTTATTTTTAAAAATAGGGGGTTATTATTCTGTGGAAGTGGAATCAGATTGACTTTTCGCTACAATTAGTTGCAAACTAAAAATAAAAATCACATTTGTTTCTGGAAATTAATGGCTACATTGATGTCTCTGTAAGTGCAACATTTTACAGGGATAGATTTTTGTTTATTTATTAATCAGGTTAATTAAAGAAATCTGCTGAAACTTAGAAAAGGCGTGCAGCTTGTTTCAGATTTGTTCAGTGAACTCCATAAAGTTGCTTAAAAATAATAATAATTGAAGAAGACAAAATGTAAGGCAATTTCTAGCAGAATTAAAAGATATAATTTTTATGATTGTTAGAGAAAGCTCTATATATTTTCTGTTTCTTTGTACGTGCTTATTGTTTTACTTAAGGGACTTTATATTTCTGTATGTTTTCTATTTCTTTGTACATGCTGCTTTATGCTTAAGGGACTTTTTTTTGCTTAAGGGACCTTAATTCGGAGATGTTCATACAGAATTGTTGTGCTGTGCTTTTTTACATCCAAGGATAGAGCTGCAGGGACATGGAACTTTGATTTCATTTTTGTTGCAGGATTTCTTTCAATGGTATTCTATTGCCATGTTTACAGAGGTACACAACTGAAACTCCAAAAGATGGAAAGCAGGCATAGATTAACAAATTAACCCCACAAATTGTTGATGGTAAATAAAGAAAGCTGGCCAGCCTATTTTTTTCTACTTAAAATAATATCTTCCTAAAGCTGTACAGGTAGTCCTTGATTTACTACCACAGTTGAACCCAAAATTTCTGTTGTTAAGTGAGAAATTTGTTAAGTGAGTTTTGCCCCATTTTACGACCTTTCTTGCCACAGTTGCTAAGTGAATCAGCGCAGTTGTTAAATTGGTTACACGATCGTTAAGTGAATCTGGCTTCCCCATTGACTTTGCTCATCAGAAGGTCACCAAAGGTGATCACATGACCCTGGGACACTGCAACCGTCATAAATGTCAGTCAGTTGTCAAGCATCTGAATGTAAATCACATGACCATGGGGATGCTGCAATGCTCATAAGTGTGAAAAACAGTCATAAATCACCTTTTCCAGTGCCGTTGTGACTTTGAATGATTACTAATTGAACTGTTGTAAGTTGAGGACTATCTGTATTAGGTTATAAAATAAAAATCTGATGAAATACTACTGGTTCGCACAGGTTCGGGCAAATCGGTAGTGATAAAAGCTACTGGTTTGGGCAAACAGGTATTAAAAAAAAGTTACCAGTTCGTCTGAACTGGTATTTCCGACGATCAGCTGTGCCACACAATTTATATTATATTATATTATAGGAAATCCTGCTTTCTAGCGAATCTAAATTGCGCGGCATAGATGTTCCTCCCCCTCGCTGTTCTACTTACCTTGTTAAGCCTCCTTTTTCTGCACAAAGTGCGCATTTTGTGTGTATTGTGCATGCACGCGCAGCGTGCATTTGGTGTACACTGCGCATGTGTGTGCAGTGTGCTTTTGGCATGCACTGTGCACATGCAGCGCATTTGGCGCACACCACACATGCACGGGCAGCAAACTAGTGGCAATACGCGGAGGATGTCACCACTGATAAAAATCCTGCATTTGATTAAAAACATAATGTAAATTTTGCCCCTGTAGTGTTGCAAAGTATTCAAAGATGCTTCCTTAATCACAGTTAAGATACTAGTGGATTCAGAAGTCGAAAAAAGTTGTTGGTTCCTGTATATCTCAGCTATTTCCCTGTTCTTCCCTGTCTATTTCTGAGTTAATTCCATGAATTATGTACAGATAGTCCTCGACCTAGGACTACAATGGCACCCAAAATTTCTATGGCTAAGCTAGACAATTGAGTTTTGCCCGGCTTTACAATCTTTCTTGCCACAATTGTTAAGTGAATCACCGCTGTTGTTAAGTTACTAACATGGTTGTTGTGAATCTGACTTTCCCTTTGACTTTGCTTGTCAAAGGGCTGTAAAAGGGGATCACATGACCATAGGACACTGCAACCAACATAAATACATTCTAGTTGCCAGGTGTCCAAATTTTGATCATGTGATTGTGGAGATGCTGCAACCAGTCATAAATGTGAAAAACTCTTCATTAAGTCACTTTTTTAGTGCCATTATAACTTGGAACAGTCAGCAAACAAATAGTTGTAAATCGAGGACTACTTGCATGAATTTTATATTACATTAGACTTTTTCTGGTTGTTAGTTCCATATTTATTCATTTATTTACAAAATTAATACCCTACATCTCCAGTGTTAAAATATATAAAATCAAAACATCAGAGAATTACTTGTTTCTGCAGAAAAATACTTGCTTGGTATGGGCTAGGTTTCTGTAGTTTTGATTAAGTATTTATTTATTAATCAAATTTATTATATAGACACATTGTATAGTCTCGAGGAGGCTGATTAAAAGTTGGGACCGATGAAACATACCGTACCCTATCAACTTTATTAAGACTCCTTTGTTTGCTGAGACTGTAAACACTAATGGTTTGCCAATTAATCAAAACTATGTACTGCTGGATGACAGTATACATCTTTAAATTGTATTTGTCTTTCTAGATCAATCATTTTAGTTCAGTCTAACCTGTCTCATAGGCTTGCGGTGGAGAGGAAGATTAAAGTAAAAGGCAATAAGCATCCATTTAGTTTATTCAAACAGAAAGCATTTTCATGTGCAGGTGAATTTAGGTAAATTTTAGGAAAATATATAATAAAAAGAGTACATAATAACACATACAATATATGGTAGCTTCTGTAATGCTTTTTTCCAGTTTCTTACCTGTAGTTAGCAATAGAAGAACTGGTATATATTTTTTGCAACAAATGAATCTTGGGTATATGTATGTGTCTTTCTGTTCCTTTTTATGTGTGTTTGTGTATAAGTGGGAAAGGCAGTGTGAGCTTCTTATACCTTATTCTGAATGATATACCCTGGTTGGAGAGAAGATGGAAAGAAATAGTCAGCAACATTCTAGTTATTATCAATATATCTTTCCCAGGAATACAAAGGTGTTATGTTTCCTGGAATATTTTTCTAGTCTGATCTGGCTCATTTTCAAAGTTGGCCTTTCTTTTGTT